GCATCTAACCTTGGAACCGCTCCCCCGATTTCCCGACGATATTCGTCCAATGCGTCATAGACAGCCGTTTCCCAACACCTACAGTCTATTATTATCCTCTTCCCGTAATGGTCATACCTCTGCACCGTAAAGCAGTACGCACCAAACTGCTGCAACATACAATCGACCAATCACGATAGCGCTACAAGTGTTTTAACTTTTCAAATGCCAAGTGAGCCTTCTGTATGAGTGCCGACAATTTCTCCGTGATGCGTCTACCGGGGGAGATATAAATGCCCAAATAACGAAATTTATCTACTTCTTTTACGGCTTTGCCAGTTAAAGTCAGGTTGGTAGCTGGGTCAATTCAGTAGTGTAGTGACATTTTGCACTTTGAAGATGCAAAATGTATACAGAACATGGCTAAACTAGCACTCAACGCGTCTAAAAAAGCTTTCAACTTAAATGGATCTTTACTAAGTAGAACAATATCGTATGCATACTCCAGATTAGACAGTCTAACACCTGAAAGCAAATAGATGCCGCTATCCTCGCACGAGGACAGGGCTGTTTCCATAATCAAGTTCATTAAAAGTTGAATAGAAAAGGAGAGAGAGGGCAATCCTAAAATATACAGGTTTCTGTGGTGAACTGAGACGAAAACAGTGCTTTAAGCTCGGAATGGGCTTCGACTATTAGTTTAGCGGGATCGTAATAGCAAAAGAAACTTCTCGGGCACATCCCTCACACAGAGGGAACACCAGAATATCGAGTGATCAACGGAATCAAAAGCCCCTTACAATTAGAGGAAGACAGAAGAGGTGGATCTACCGAAGGAATATCAGTGTTCTACAATCTGGCGAAGGATGAAAATGTGATTCACACTACGTCAACCGGGCCTAAAATCAGCCTGATTCTTTAGCATTCACCGTTCATGTGTGGCAGACAATCGACATCGTATAAAGTCAATGAACAGTCTTCAATGAATATGGTGGTTTGAAAGAACGAGAGCTGAAAACAACCGTTTCAGAACACATGTATTTTTACACAAACCTAACGTTTGAAGATACTTTCAGATTACCTGAACGCTCTTCCACCAGATTTTCCTTTGCTATGAAAAGGATTCTGAGGTTTTACACATAGCCAACTTGTACATTCAGATTTTCGGAACAACGAAAGTTAATTGGAATCGAACTGGTTTGTATCAGCTATTCTTCATAGAGTTGCAAATGCTATGTTACCTTGGATGTAAAACATAATGATGGGTGTGGTTAGTCACTCTCTAACAGGAGAAGTAATTGCTCTATACCGCCTCCGATAGTTCGGTCACATATTGCGCATACCTGCCCATCGGCTGTTTCCGTGTTCTCTTTGCATGGGCCGGACAGAGCTGAAAGAGGCACTGCGGTGTTCAAACCATAAAATGGTGTAGAGGTATGAGAGGCTGGCTTCAGTTCTGGCTACGGTTGATGCAGACCACCTTCCGGGTTGGGGTCCAAGGATTAAGGATTGTCGTTGATTAGAGACGATGAGAGATATAGTCCAGAATAGAAATCAGTGGCGCAAATTCTATACGATCTGTCTGCCGAAATCCCGTGCTCCGTAGAAAAAACGATAAACTGACATATAAAAATGTACAGTGAAACAAAGAAAAACAATGTTCTTCTCATTATCATTCCAACCCCCCCCNNNCCCCCCCCCGCTCCCGCCATGTTTTGTTATTTTTGTTCTTGCGTCAATCAATTAGAATAGTGTAATAACGAAATTAACGTACGAAATATTTGCACGGTATGTTCAGCCGTGACAGGTTCCACAAGTGCCCGATATATCACACTCTGTTGCTTTTCTTTTTTGGTTGACAGCTATTTAATATGCAGCGCAGGTACACCATAACTTCATTAAAAGAAGAACACTCGTTTTTCTGAAAGAAGACTACCTCTAAATTGTTTCGACTTGTACTTTTTAATTCAACATAACCTGCATGCATTTTTTTTATTGTTTTGCTTGTATCAGGATGGTAGACACGCACTTCGAGGCGTATTCCTATGTATTTTGCGGTTTGCAACTGATAATAGGTTTGGTGAGTGTACTAGCCGAGATTAGCCGATAAAGCCGCTCCATAAGACTGTCTTAAAATCAGCAAGTGGGCCAGAATATCAAACATGCAGAACGATCGACAGTGACAAGGTTTTTAAAGATAGCCCTACGGACGGGATTGTTCGCGCTTAATCAGTCGTATTTCCTTCACAGGGACCCGGAATAGTTTATGCTTCAGAAGTTACCATAAGCTAGCCCCGTCTGTGGTCTTTGTATCACTCACGATTCAGCATGACCCGGACTTGCTGGTCTTTTGGTAGTGTCGAAACCGGCCTGTGAATACGGGCCAACTGGCGACGGGGGAAAACTTCCTTTATTTGAAAAAGGGCCGCAACATCTACCGAGGATTCATTCATTCAGTCGGTTTTAGAGTAAGTTAGCTGCACCGTTTAACCGTCAATTTCCCAATGAACACCACATTAGTGTGGAAAAGTTTGTTGTTTTACTAATTTACAGCGGTATGATACCCAGTGAAATTAGCTTAAGATTGTAGTTACAAAACCAGTATTGAAAATCAAAATTAGCCTGAACATATGAGTAACTGGATAGTTTTAGTTGAAATTCAACTCTGCGCATAGTAACCGACAGACTTCCTTGTGGTGTAATCGTTAAAAACCTGGGCATTTCTGATTGGTACTACTTAAACACTGATGCACTTGATGTGGTGAGCGAAAATGAGAAAACAATCTAAGTGACAGAAGTGAGGCTAGATATGCCAACCGAATACAAGAAATGGTATCTGAAGGAAGCGTTTAACAAGTTGACAGCAAAGGAGGCTGAAGTATTTCCGGGTAGGCGTGTATTGCATCCAGCATGTAAGGGGACGAGGCTAAAGATCAACGGCATCCTTAAAGCCTCTCGATTTATTGAAATTTTATTCCAGTTTTCTTCTGCTTGAGACACTCAAAAAGTTAGCATGTTGTCGTGACTCGTGACGTCTGTCATTCTTACTTGGGTTTGTAAAATTCCATAAATCCTATATCAAAATTCTAATAAAACCTATTCGCGCATTCGTTGTCACTTGGGCTGGCACTCAACTCGAGTAACAGAGCACAGACTTGGTGGCCATTCGATTTGAAATGCTTATCATCTATACGTTGATGAGCGATCCTATACGATGTTCTATGACCCGATACACGTGTAGCGCATGTTCTTCTACATCGCTCGCTCTCTGTCTCTCTTAAGCCGAACGAATTGACCTTAACAAAACGAAAGGGGCATATCTGTTTGGTGGTACCTAGCAACGGCTTAATAATGAAAAAACTTTTCTGTGGTGAATCGACTGAATGACCAGATTTCTATGAGAGACAACTAACGGAACATTGCCGAACAAAGTTGGGCTGAGCAACAGTTGATATTAATCTGACCCAGTAAACCGTTTCTTTCTTGGGACAGTGATTTTACTGGACAGAATCACCCCGCGGTCGAATCGGAACACAGTCTCAGGCAGAAGTCCTGTGCGGTAATCATATCCCTTCTTCTTCTTCGGGGCGTGTGTATCCAATTCTCTGAATACAGATAGTTGAAGACAGGTACAGAACAATGCGATCAATCACGCAAATATATGTAGTACGTACGTACGTACGTTGTCGTCAGAAAGGATGAACATGAGTTTGTGCGCAAGGGCAAATAGGGTCCGTGTATTTTGCATGGCGATCACACAGAGAGACAACACACACATGTTTGCAAATAAACGAATGGGTTGTCGTTGCAAATAGAACACGCGCGAGCGCATATGGTGTGGTTGGCGGAACAAAGTCACCCCGAGAGAGCGAGAGGGAGAGAATAGAATCGAGTTCCGACTCGGAAATTACAGATAAAAACCAAAACAAAATAACCAGTGAGACTGCGCGAGTAAAATGGGATCAACGTAGGTGAGTGAGCGTGTGAACACAGTCAACGGGGTGTCGAATTCTTGATGTCATTTGTCTAATTTGTCCAGGGAACTAAGATTAGCCCAAGGAAACACAAAATGTGACAAGTTCTGTTTGACCATACACAGACAGAGTTCGAGTAGCTTTTACACATACATACATATATATAGATGCGTGCGCGAGCCCCCTGCCTTTAATGAAAGCAAATCATATGTACAAAGAAGAGTGGATGTTGCGAAAAGTCCAGTAGTTTGTGGTCCAAAAATCATGATTATTTGTGAGGTTTGCGAAGTTTGACCGGGACTGACCGAGCAAGGTTGCAGGTAAAGGCATCTAGGTGTGTGGGGGGTGGATGGAGGGTCAACTCAGGGCATGTGGAGGCGGGTGCAAGCGCTAGGAAAGCACAGATTTACGGAGGAAATACCGAAAAGTATCATATTGGAAAACGGTGAGCCCTCTCCATTTGTATTTGTCCCAGTCGAAAAGGTAAAAAATAATCCTGTCCAATGAAGATTTTCACGAATGGAGAGAGAGCGAGGTTAGTGATGTGTGACGATGCGTTTAGAGTGGCCAACAGAGCATGCATGGTCGGTCAAATGCGAGCTTGGATTGGTTTGTCGTCCTGGTTGCTCTGTTTTTCTAGAAATGTTTGTATTTTCTCAACATCCAATGAAGACCACTAATTAGACAGGGGGAGGGTATTTTTCTCCTTATCGAATTCAGTGAAGAGCTGCTACCGCGGATGCTGCTACAGCTCTCTAACAGCCGAAACTGGTTTGATAAAATGTTTGTTTTGCAAGGAGACCTATTGGGTAGAACCATGTATGAAAGATAAGAAAAATTGTTTATTCACATGAAAAATAAGATGTGCGGAAGTGAAAAATCGGTCAATCACTAGGCACGCCACTGGTGTTTCTCAAGATGGTCGGTCGCTAAGGTGGGGGGCGACAAAAACGAGAGAGAGAGCACGGAAGTCGAAATGGGATACAAATATCACGCACATAAGGAACCTGCATGCACGGATGCACACGTGTTCTGATTGGTACTTACTTAATCCTCACTTTTATTGTCCAACGAGGACTGTGTGACGGATGGGAGTTGGATTCTTTGTTGCTGCTGTTGTGGCGAATCACATTGTTGTCTGATTGGAGGAGGTGGTGGAGGTGGTGGTGACAGGGAACTGAGTTTCATGGGGGGATGCACATGTGTTTGGAATGAGGAGACTGGAGAGCTACCGGTTGGAGTAGACTGGGCTGGAATAGAAAGACGGGGATGCTCGTCAGGGGTATTTAGCCGCTCCAATTCCGGGGCTTGCGTGAAACGGTTGGATTCGTTGGCATCACCGGTTCGTTGTTGAGCATTCAAACCGAAAAACTCATCCCGTGTGTCTTGTAGAGTTTTGGACAGGAACGGTTTTGCACTGGGCCCAGATGTATCAAGCGGTGTTTTATGCAATAGGAGAGCAAGACCACAACCGACGGTGATTGAACCAACCAATGTAACCCATCCGGTTACAAACCAAAGACCATTCAGGACAACGACCACACCGTCACAAACGGCACGTTTCATATCGTTCTCCGCCTCGTACAATCGTCGACAGCGACCAACTTCGGCCATCAGTTGTGGACCGAACTCAACGATTAATTTTTCCGCCTCGGTCGGTGTCTTTGTTTGAATGTGTTCATCAAATAATTTAGAAGCTTTGTTCAACAAGACTGGTTTATTACTCATCAATGACTTCAGATTGCTCAACGTGGATTTCAATTCAGTCACAATTGGACTTACTTTTTTGGCCGAGGACAGCGCGACCAAATGCGTGTCTATGGCGGTGACAATAGCATTCAGATTAACCAGCGCTAGACGTACTTCTTGGGTGGCTCGATCTAATCGAAGCCTCTGCTTGTCAGTCAAACGGAATTGAAGCACAGTTGCATAGTATGCATCCCAAGCGGACCACATGCTTTCTACCGGGAGCAAAGTATAGTTTCCAGATTCATCATCCGGAAGACGTACGCTTAGATACGTGGTAGGTAAATTATCACGAAATTGTTGAAAGTTAACAATAAATCCGTCCAAAAGACCGGCAGTTTTGAGCTGTTCGTCTGTCTCTTTTGGGAACATCTCATTCACATCCAGCGCTTTCAAGGAGTTAAACATAATCTCTCTTCCGATACGAACAAATTGTTCTGCCACCTTTGGGTCGTTTAACGAGGCCATATTAAAGTCACGTATTCCGTCCAATGCAGCCAGGATGCCAGCATTCTCACGACAGTGATGCATCATCGCTCGCAGAGGGCTACGCACATGAGGTACTGGCATAGGCTTTGCACCCGGTGGAGTGTGGTTTGCAGCCAGGCGCACAATCACATCCCAGTGGCGATCTATGAACCAATTTATATGCGCGTCCAGAAGGTCGGCCGGACTGCGATCCGACTTTGAATGACTTTGTTCTTCCGTCGGTTCCAGATATCGGCAACCTTCGGTGTACAGGTAGCCAGCAAAAAGAAACAGCAAAGTGGATGTGATCAAACTGATCACAAGGAAAAGCAAACAACAACCGGCCGCCGAACGAACGCGATGCCGACTTCGTACACTCAGAGAGCTAGGTACGCAATGATAGTGAATAATTAACCACGTGATACCGACAGTGAACAACAGGAGCACAATCCAGAAAATACAAGCAAACGTAAGTAGCACACTGGAACCGGAAGAAACTTTCGGGGCCAATGAACGAGTGATGATCAGGGCCTGAGTATCGATGGTTTCCACCATTTTAGCCATTTGTGTATCCAAACTCGCCCATTGTGAATCCACCATCTCAGTGATTGTTTTGGGGATGTTAATTCGTTCAGCCATCACCTTTTTCGTTTCGGCTAATTGTTTTTCAGCCAATAACCGGCCTTGATTCAATTGTTGCTGAACACTATCCGCTGTCTGGTTCTGATCTGTGGTAACAAATTTCAACGCTACCGCAAAAGCAAAATGTGGCATGAATGTGTCCGGACGAGCTGTGAGATTGTTTGTGAAAGTGGCCCGAAGTGGAACACAAGTCCCGACACATTCCTCATCTCCAGTGGGACCGAATCCCTGAATCAGACGCAACCAGTTCTGTAGTTCGATTTTAAACCGATCAAATCGCTGTTTGAATTGCATATCCTGTTCCACAATACCCATAGAGTGCTTCATCAATGAGATTACACTGGATCCAACCTCATCTCCCAGTTGAAACGCCTTTGAAGCTCCAATTTCATCAAATAGAAGAGCATTGAACTCGGTAGTCATACGATCTTGCATTGCCTCAGTTGCATTTATTAGCGCAAGGACCACTGGAGCCGTGGATTTTTTCGTATCCTCGACAAACTCCGAAAGATAAGCTCGCACTTGAGCTAACGCACGCAGAATCCGCGGAAAGACGTGAGTAGCTGGTGGATCAGTGTGCTTCAATTCATTTGGTTTCAACAGTCGCCCCACTGCTTCTTCGTGTGTAGACGGGGCTGCCAGATTCCCATGCAACTGGCTGCTGGCCGAAAACCCCAACATCACCCCGATGCCTAACAATAAGGTCAATGATGTGAGAAGAAAAAACTGTATGGCAAGACAAATCCAATTTGACTGCATTCGGTGCCGTGTTCGATGCAATGTGGATTTCGGAAATCGTGTGGACGCGTTGGAACGAATTGTTCCATCACATCGAGAAATGTCGTTCGGATGAGATGGTAAACCGGCCAAATAAACCAAATCCGGCGTATGTCGACGACGACGGCCAGATTTTCGGCCACACAGAATGACTGCTACCACAAACAGAATTATAGTCCAAATAATTCCGAACGCGATTGCAACAGCATAACCACTTCGTGCAAATGTAACTCGCATGTGCTCGGTCGGACTGGGCGAAGCATCTTTTTGAACAATGGTCAATTCATCAGCCTCTGTCAGGATTAACCGAGGAGCCACATAATTGTTCAACACAAACGTAAAAATTCCACCGTCTAATATGGGTTGAGCTTGATGCACAATACCTTTGGCTGCAGAGTATATTGGATCCATGATGAAGCACAGTTAATGTTCTCACTTTCGTGGATGTGTGAGCGTATTTCAGTGCACCAAGGCGCCCGCCACAGAGCGGTCGAGTCTATCTTGTTCAAGCATTTGCGTTCCGCGAGTCCTCTCATGAGTGGCGTGATTTACCGCTCGACAACCTGATTGGTGTGCTTACGGTGGGTGCTGATTGGTCCAAAATTTCAGGTGACAGTGACGAGAAGAAACCAATCAGCTAAAGAGCGAAACCCAGACACAACGTATAGTCGGATCTTTAGGTAGGCCGGCCGCAATGTTAGTCACGGGATGCATGCGGGCCGTCACCGCACACGGTAGCACGCCGGGTGACGCATTTTAAAACCAAACCGATTTGATTCCGGTATCCCAAATTGCTATTAGTTTAGTTGACCAAAACCTTGCTGACAAATGAAATCATGGACTGTGACTTGAAAGATAATCCATTCCAGCTTCTACCGTGTCACGCCCATTAAGCTCAAGTAAAACATGAACCAATTCTAAATAGGCGTCCGTTTTGCATCAACCACAGAGTGCTTAACAATGCAGGAAACATCGCAGGACGTACGGAATTTAAAGGTATTGTTCAATGTTTAGGCAAATGTGAGTCAAAAAATGATCAAAATCGACAGGGCAACGGAGTATAGAAGTCAATTTAAAAAGGTTTGTGTGTTGATGGCTGATTTGTTTGTGTAAATATTTGTGAAAAAGTGTATTCGGGCGCGTTTGTAATTATGCATTGGAAGGCTTACGGTCGTCAAACCTCGACCCTTGTTCGTACACAGCAGACTTTACAATAGGCTTGAGGCCGTTCACACATATCTGTAACGATCCAGAGTTAAAATTCTGTTGGCTAAGTATTAGTAGTTCATTCAGGCAAGTCGTCCAAATCCCCTGACCCCATACCAACGAAGACAAAGCTTGTGAATCAGACACATACGTTCCTGGCCCTGCTGGTGGACATTGGCTTGATTAGGATTTGAGTTATACTGGTACCTTGTATCGTTGACTTCATCTAAAGGGAATTTGACTCGATAGACTGGATACCAACTTCCAGTGAACTGGGGATTTCATCAACTTTGTGGATCAAGGTTTGGCTAGCCGAATAGCCCAGCTATGAATCTACAAGAGAATTTGCTTGATTTGATCTGTCCTACCCAGCAGTATTCTCATTCCCACTTGTACTTCCTTTCATTGAATATGCAATGATACAATTTTCAGGGAAAGAGAAGCGGCCAATCAGAGGGCTGTCATACAACGCACGAATTCGGAAAGTCAGAATGTGGTGGTGGAATTCGAACACAACTTCCGGAGTGATAATTAAGTGACCTTAACTACCGGGNGTATTCCCGGTCAGTCTGTGCCTATTCCTTTGTTATAAAGATTGTCCCACTCAGATTTGTTTAACGTGGCCTGAACTTTGCATTTGTGAAACGTGAAGTCACATGGTTAAATCATTTCGAGATTGCGAACTAGGTAGTTTTTCCTTTCATGCACGAGAACGGTTAACCCTGTTCGATCTTCACTGTGCAATGTTGCACCCTACTGTCTCTAGTAATCGAACAGTCTTCGTTTGGTCCACACAAATCATTGAGTACCGTTTTCGCAGTGAGTTCACCATTGAAAAGAGCTAGTGCACAGAGAATACTTCGTCCTATCAGATAAAGAGCGCGAAATTTCAACAACTTATCTGTTTTCTTATGTTTAAAAGAGCTTCAGAAGTTTATTTACCTGAACAACTAGTTATCAAACATTCAACCAACTCGTTCATATATTATGAGGCAAAAAGTGTTCGGATAATGAGTGCTGTTCTTTTCCGTAGTTTGCCTATTCCGATGGTTTAAACTCACAAAACCAAGCGGTTACAGCACTGTTCATCAAAACACCAACTCCTGGATTCACTATGATCCCGGGACTCGATAAAGCCAGTTCGATATAGACAAACCTGGCTGTAATTTTATCGAACACAGGCCACCCTCGCCTGAGCGGAAACCACGATAAATGTTACGAGGCTCAGACAGACGTTTACTTCACAGTTCGTCAACCGATCCATATGATTATTTTGTGAGTTCACCTGATGCTCGCAAAACTGACGGTTGTCTGGGCGCGGTAATCGGTCCCATTAACCAGGCATTTCTTGTACACTCCCATCGATTCGACGATGAATGTGGATTCTAATCGACGAAAACGCATTTCTACCCGATTGGCTGATCAAAAGTGAAGTAAAAAGGGTGTTTGGATTAGGTGATGAGGAGAGATATGCGGAGGGACGACAAACGCAGACCGGTCATGTAAACCACCACCTTGTCAGGTAGCATTTTCCCAACCCAAATGGGTGATATCATCCAACCACACCTGTAAATACTTGAAACTAATATTATTGGTATGATGAAAACAGCAAGACAATCAATACTGAGTACAAGTCTGGGGATTTGACGAATTGAGAATACCTAGCAAACTGGAGTTTCTGGACGGCACTTTCCAATGGTCTACTATACCTAGAACGTTTGATCCGATACGCATGCTGAGTGTGCTGAGTCAAACTACTAAAGCAGAACAAAATGCCCTTCATCGCTTTTTTGTTCATTCATGCGCATCGCAATACGGTGACTTCCCTGTCGTCATCACAACCACCCGATCTCACCTCAACCAAACGACTGTGGAATCAGCTCGTGATCTGGTAATATTACAAACCTCTATATACGTTGAGGATTTACTTGGGCAGGGTCTTTGCATCATGTTCATTCAGTGCGAACTTGTAAAACAGAAAAAAGGAGTAACCGAATATATTGCATACTATAAACTCAGACGATATGCCAAACCAAAACGGTGTGAAAGTGTAAAATAAAATACTTCCAGACTGATACAGTGATTAACGAGACCTCCTTGGGTAGAAAAAGCCTTCGCTTTTCTGTTATGATAGACCTTTGTAAACAAGCATATAATTCCGAGCAGTTGTAATAGGCGATTTGCATTCTAATTTATCATATTTCATTAGTTATTCTTCTTAGATGCAGCTACGCAAGTTCCGGTTTGCGGGACCATAAGATGTGTGTTAAATATTTGAGAATCGTAATTTAGCTATTAGGGTTTTAAGACTACTATCTTATTTTCATGTAGTCTTTGGCAAATTGATGTTGAACTTGGGCGTGAATCGTGCGTGATCAGGTCTCGTTGAACTTTTGGATTCATGCAGTTTGTAGCTGTCCGCATTTGCAGATTGTCAAGTGGCCAAGTCACCAACTCGTGACCTGAGTGTCCCGGGTTCGAACTGCTCCAACACCGCCCGTTTTCCCTAATTCTATGTTTTTCCGGGCAGCCTTTGTATGACTACGACTGTCTGTATATTTGTATATTCAATAAATGAAAAAGGGAGAAAAAGACATCTTCAAAGACAACCGTCCCTCCGGGTGTCGTTTCACCATGAGACTCGATACCCTCATGGCTGTCTCGCACATCCGATCCCGAAAGCGGCGGGGATTCCTGCCGTACGCTATAGAGCCAAAGCACGGGTATTATGAAATGAGGTCGTCTAATAAGGTATGAACTAAAGTCCCCGTTTTCGGGAAAGACTCATAATCGGGTCAAAAATGTGAACTGTTCATATATCATGGTTTCCTACTTGTGTGAAGAAATTACGGTCTTCCAATGCATGCAATACTGCTACCCAGTCGGCGATTCATCTTTTCATGGACATTCCCGATTTGTAAATCCATGGAACCATTGGCGGCGATATTAACTGGTTATAAGTGATACTGTTTGTATCTTCATTGGGTGCGAGTGGTATACGAATTCAAATCCAGATGATTAACTGAGACAGAGAGAGTGACACGAATGTATACTAGTAACGTAAACAATCAATATAGGTCATCCAAATTGAAGCTTGTGCGACAGAGGCACTTCGCACAACCGTCATTACCATGCTTCAACACAAAGAAGATTGAGAGGTCTATCTATGCGGCGTGGTGTTCTTCCAGACATCGCTGGGAGGCTGGCCGCTGAGCCTGGCCGCCCCAATGAGATCAACGAGACAGCTAAGAATGCTGCTCAGATAACTTGAAATGATAATCGGACAAATTGAAATAATACCGAGACAAATTGAAATGGTATTCGGGCAACGAGAATTGCGAAACGTAAAGAAAATACAAACCGATGAGAAATACATTAGCTACGTCTCAAGGAAGGTCAATTAAAACGTTTGTATAAATTACCTTTTACTTTGAGACAATGTTTCATTTGAAAACATTATACTACTATAGTTACCGAAATTTAGGTAAATTCAGTTATTCACTTTAGGGCAGATACATTATCTATTCTTCGGTCGTATAAAACCTCCCAATGGAGTGGTAACTACTATGGGTTCATGTGTGATAAAGTAAGCATTAAAAACATTCTGTCTATTCCGATTTGGATTCTATTTTCCTCACTTTCTCAACCGTGATATAACATATAAACAATTGTATAATGTAGTGCTCTTTCTTCAATTTCATTTTTTCCTTATTGAGCATGCTGGCATACCGTCATCATTCCCGCTCATTCCAAGTAATTGGAACGATCTAAGGGTGTTTGAGGGCACAGAAAAATATGAGATACCACTGACTTTGGTGGGATTCGAACCCATGATAACGGTCTCAAAAATAAATGTACCAAATTTATTCAGTAAAAATTATTTTCCATATGAATTGCTCCAATGCAGAATGGTTTCAGCCGCGCTGATTCAGAAAGTATTTGTATGTATGTATATGTCTGGTTCATCGATATACAACTACACGAAATTAATTTTCTTCGACCAGCATTGTTATGGACAGATACATACTCTGCAGTCAGTTGAACTCGTGTGTGCGTAGGCATGTACATCATGGAATACGAAAAGAGGATCGTCTTTTGCAGCTAAATCCTCCATTAGCACAAATTATTGTTGTGATCATGTTACAGCAAAAAAATAAACACAGAAAAGATAGCTGCAGCACGGGGGCAACTGCAAATAAACACAA